TCTTGACTGCTGAACTAACTAATGATAGCGACATGTATATACACTATATACAAACCCATGCAAATACATGAATGACTATGTACACATATGGATTGCGTATTGATGCAAACCTACCCTTCCCATTCCTAAGCTACAAGGGCGGCAATCAGTCAGTTTTGCATCCAAAATCCCAAGGCTTGAGCAGTTTCACAAGCAAAACGGGAAACTGTTGTGACACCTTTCTCTAGCTAGATGAGCCCTGGCGCCTTGTTGCTGAACTGACTGTTGGTGAAGGTGAAGCACAAGGTCCGTGCCATGTAACAGGCTGGCATCAACTCGCGAGGCATGCCCAAGGTCGCTGCAAACCTGACCAGGACTTGACTCAACAAGTTCATAGCTCATTTGACCCATCGCAACTGATCTTCCCCATCTCCCCTTCTTGCCCCACGGCACACCAAAACGCTCATGATGGTCATATCCCGGTTCAAGCGTGCTGGTGTCAAAATCACAGCTGGATCTCCCATCCTGACGAGCAAGAACCCGCCTGTGCACACCCTGATTTGCACTTGACATACCTAGTCCTTCTCTGACAGTCGTGAAGAATTATGATCACACCTTCAAAGCCTCACGCCAAGTTCAAAGGCCTAACTCTGACCACGCTGAAAGCAGGCATGAAAGTTTGGATACATTTAGAGTTTCCAGCGCATCTTTTTGGGAGATATTATGTGCATTATGTATATGATATTGATGGGCCTCACTGTGGTCTTTGCCTGTGCGATGAAGAATAAGGTGCGCTGGCTCCACAAAGCTCAGCAGGTAGAGACGAGAGGGACGGATAGGTTCAAAGGGCACTAGGTTGGGGTGTAGCTGCTTGCTGGGAGCTTGAGTAGTGTCCAAGATTTGCTGGACTGCATCCTCAATCCGGAGTGCTTGCAAGACTTAAGGGCTAGTACAGCATGGCAAGACGGGCAAAGCCCATGTAATGGGTCGTATGTGATCAGAGTGTTTGGGGCCAGCACTTTCTTCTAGCCAACAGTTGGCCGCCAACTGCTACTTTAGGGACCAATTCCAGAACACCAAAAAGTATCTTTACAACAAATATGAGCAAAAAAAAGGTTATGGTCCCCTTAGAAGGGGCCTTGCCTTCCTTTTTCATCTGCCTTTAGCAGGCACAGCTTCTTTTCCGTATCCCTTTTCCTTTGCATTTCTCTCGCCGATCTCTGAATACCAAACGACTCAATGACGCGCTCCAACCTGCGCATCACAGTGCTTCCCAACGAGACGGTGGCATAGAAGGCCACGCTGTGAACCATTGGTGGAGTAGCACCGATCGCCTGCACGACCTGGGTGATGCAGGGCAACGCCTTAGGCCTTTGACAGTGACCAGGGCGAGTGCTTTTCGTGCGGTGCAATCAAGGAATGGGTGGCGTATCACAAAGAGTGAGAACATGTAAGAACATGACTAAGAACATACTAGACACTGAAGCCGTCAACCATCCACCAAACGCTTTGAAGTGCAAGCAAGCTGCAAAAAGCACCAGCATGAAGCAATCAAGCACCAAAGACCAAAGGCTCGCAATCCTGGGATGGATAAAAGGCTTGGGTCCTTTGCCGGGATCCACCTCAAAACCTTATCTCGGTCGTGAGCCCACACGCTTTCCCGCCCCTTTCTTCCAAAAAACCATTGGGTTTTGTCACAAGCTTTGCCACCATATTTCACACGCCACCATGTTCTTCCTGGATTCATACCCATCCTTCTGCTTTACAGAAAGTGCAGCTATCATGGCTCATCCCCATTGCCATGGTAACACGGTGTGGCTGCTGAATGCATGCAGCCAAAGGTGCTCTTGCAACGATGTGCTCCTTCGTTCGTGAACACGCTTCGCCGCTTCATCACTCACTTTTGCAACACCTCCGGTGAACTTCTGCCTGGGCTTTGCCGAAATCAAGCACGTGCATCACGCAGCATGTGACGATGCACGTTACTATGCACGTTATATGAGGTTGAGGTTGTTGATGGTTTAATTGCAAAGAAGGCCCAATACGATGAAGTGGATGTGGGGAGGGTTCCCGAACACCAACCCCCCACTCTAAGTTAATCTTTGACACCTCTACCCTTTGAAAATGGATGTCAGGTCAAGTAGTGCAAAGCCTACCTGCGATTAGAGACAATGTCTAAGAATCCAACGCCAAGGGAAGGACACCTTGAAAAACGAAAACCAAAGCCCAGAAAACCAACCGAGTAAAATAGGAACGGGGGGCAAGACCCTGGCCCATGAACACCAAACACCAAAAACCGAATCCCAAAGCCAAATGAATTGACCCGTTGTCTGAACCAATGGATGTCAAAAGGTCAAGCACTGAACATCAACCGCAAACACAGAATCAATCCAGACTCCAAGCAAGCAAGCTCTGGCTAAGACACCCACACGTATACAAAATGTCAACTGCTACCTCACACTGCATTACCCTCTGGTCCCAATCCAGAACAGGAAAACCCAAGCCAGTCCCCTCAGTCGTTGTCCAATATGACCTGTACTCTCAAAAGTGGGCGTGCCAAACCATGTAAAAGTACAAGAACCCCTGAAATGAGAGTCGCGATTCGCAAACTGAAATGCAAAATGTGACTCCCGAAATTGAATTTACATGGGTAAGAATGAATTCCAAATCCAATGCCAGGGGGAGGATCTCTGGGGAAGGATCTGAGATCGCGCAAGCGATCACTTACAAATTTGGCGTGTAGTTCTAATAGCACCCCTTTGCTTTGAACGCGCTGTCAGTGCCAAATGTTTTCAATTCAAGTCGGAAGTTGTATTAATCGTGTTCGGCAACATCTTCGAAGTTTGTCCATTCCCCAGGAGTTCCAAAGCTTTACCTGCTGAACTACTGAGAGTGCATGGTGACTTCCTCAGTGTGACCTGCGAGCTGAAGATGTTGAGCCGTCACCCCATTGAATGATACCGCAGCATCAGAAGCTAAGCGGCATCAGTCGCATGTAGAAGCTCCATTCCTCCATGAGACTGTTGGTCATCCGCAACGTGCGTTGAGTCCATGAATGCCTTGGCACATGTGGATCAGCGCCATGAAAAACCACCCACCTACTTTGAGTCGAGTCGACGCATCGATAGCCACATGTCTTATCCCTTCAAGTGTGAACGACAAGGGTGGCAAATGGCTTCCCGACCCGGCGCAATGCATGGCAATGGCGCCGTTTTAAGTTCATGAAATCACGTCCTTTGCAGGCAAGAGAGCCCCCCAGCTGCGTCGAGATGCAAAGCAGTCAAGCCATAGGCACAAACCATAATTTGTCCGGCGACATGTGGAGAGATCCTCGGGTAAACATGCAGGGGGAAGGCGAAAGGTTCTCGTTTGCAAACAGCCACACAAGCCACAGCAAAGACCTGCCACAGAAAAAGTCAAGAGCCCAAACTTCTTGAGTGCACCAACTGGGTGTCTTGTCAACCTTCAAAGCGGCAGGACCACACACACACACATATATATATATAATACATACATACATACCATATGGGTAGTCACGTCCAGCAACTGAATCCTAGGGATCCCTAAGGCATGTTTGGCCACGTTCAGAATGCTCAGAATGAGCTGTTCAGAACGAGAGTCTGAACGCCCAAATAGCCCAGCACAGTGAAGGTATCCATGGCGCTGGGCAAGTGGCAGGTATTACCTGCTAAGGATGGGAAAGACTTCAACAAGCAAAAGAAGGCACCAAAAGCGCAACAAAAGGAATTCAACAACTTTTACGGACTGTGCTCAAAGGTGCCCAACAGAAACCGTCTACTTGTTGCCTTCGCTGCACGGTTCGCACGGTTCTGCTGCTTAATCTGTTGAGCCATCGGCAGGTGCCACACCAAGCAATGCGGCCAGAAGCAAGAGGATAACGACCCACGCTTCTATATACTATATACGGTTTTCTCTTGACTTTCAGGCGCATTCTAATTTTGCCACTGCAAACCCACAAGAACCAAAAAGTGACTTTCTGTTTCCACCTGTCTCTTCTTCTTTGCAACCTTAGCCCATGATTCGATATGGGTGCACGTTTAATTTGGGAATGTGTTTAAATTGTTTTCGTTTTATTTTTTTTCAAAAACATTGGAATAGAGCAGGTTTCTTATTAGTACCTAGCTAATTACAACAATTTCGTGTCCTTAGCCGAGACACAGGTGTCGTAGCTGGCCAAATACATTGGAATAGTGCAGATTTCATATTAATTGCTAGCTGATTAGACTAATTTGGGAGCTGTCGTAGCTGGCAAAATACATTCGCATAGTGTAGGTGTCAGAGAAAGTCCTACGTTAGCAGAGAAACAGTAAAGAGAAGGAGAACCAGCACAGGAGGCATATATGATTGGTTAGAAGTTTATGCCCTGGGGAGTTCACCTTAAAATATTGATTTCGTGGCAGGCGCGGGTGTCGGAGATAAGTGCAGATTTCGTGGCGCGGGGGGGGGTTGGGGGGGGGCGCAGCACCCCCCCTCCAGCAGCACACCAGACCCAAAGGTTAGAAAGCAAACAGATGGAAAAGCAAAAACAAAAAGTGAAAGGAGAACAGCTGCCAAAGCAGAAAAGCAACAAAAGCAAAGAGCAGAAAAACAAAAACACAAAAAGCAGAAAAGCAGCAGAAGCAGAAAAGCAGCAAAAGCAGAAAAGCAACAAAAGCAGCAGAAGCAGAAAAGCAAAAGCAGAAAAGCAACACAAGCAAAAACGCAGCAGAAGCAGAAACGCAGCAAAAGCAGAATCCGAAAAAACATATCCCCAAAACATGAAAACACCCGAAAAAATGCCCCTCCATTCGATATTGACAATGTAGGACGTTGTGTTGAAGAGTATCTGGTATCTACATGTCGCAGCATCAAGAACAGTTTTGGTTCACCTGAAAGAAACCTCAGAATCTTTGATTCACCAACTATCACTGTTTAATTTATGAGTGCCCAAGACAAGAGATGCAAAAAGAACATCTCAGAATGCCTCCTCAATGAGAAGTCAAACGCTTTGGGCTATGCACTCCAAAATTGCCATGGGCAACACCATCCAGGGCAGGACCCAGAGTGGCCCCTGAGGCAAACATCACCGCGCTGTGAGGCGCAAATGTGTCGGTGTCCTTGCAGGGCAAAGGTCTGGATTGTCTGTCATTCAGGTCATTGCAAATCATCAAGGTCTTACACATCAAGTAAGGTAATGACCTGAGTTGTCTGGATTGTCAGCCAAGGTCTGGATTAACCCATCAAGTAATGTAAGGTTTCAAGTTTCAACATTACCTTCTGATGATTGTCACAACTTGTGACGAACAGTGGTAAAAGGCCAAAGACCACCAATTTAAGGGCATTCAACATTGAGCAAGTGGGTGACAAATTGTCTGCCGCCAGCCTTCTGAGCAGCCTGGCGGCATATCCGTATCCTCGGAGCTCCTGCCACACAACAAGATTTTGCTGTGCATTCTGAGACATGAATAGTCTTCCATGTGCATTGGCTACAGTGACTACTGTAAACTGATTTGATGCCACAAGTGTCGACGGAATCTGTTGTCTCCGAGCACATTGACTTATATAGTGGATCTGGGCTGCAATGGCTTCCAACTCGTCCACATGCTGTGATGCGACACCGGAGGCAGCTAGGCGTGGCAGGAGGCCATCGTTACTAGGTTGGAGGCCATCGCTACGAGGTTGACCCATCGTGATGTCCGTCTCTGCAACGACGTCATGGACATCACAGCCTTGCCATCGAGGCAAGGTGAAGCCCAAACCAGCAAATGTGCCCAACACGAGAAGGCCTTAGTCAAGGCAGCCAAAATTCATCCAAACAAGGGGGGTCATTAAAAACTGCCGAGTCGCCAAAAAGAGATAAAACGCCATGCCGTGCCATCTGTTGCTACTTCGTCTCCAGTGATTGTGAAGTGGGGATAAGTGGAGCAGGGTGTGCATTTGCTCAAGCCAAGTTTTCTAGAGTTCTTGAAGACATTCAAACCGTGGCTGCACTCCTGAAAAAGGTTTGCTTGAAGGTCGCTTGACATTGGATCCTGCATCCTCTCCATCCCTCCTATAGGCATGAACCAACAGAACTTTCGGAGGCTTGATTTGTAAGATGCACCAATGGCACCTTCTTTGGGTGAAAGCACTGCCTTGCTCACCAATCACTCATCCAGCGAAAAACAGCCTTTTGACGAAGAGTGTCAACTTCCCTACTTGTTCAAACATCTGCACTTGTTCTTTTTCAATCAGCAGCTGGAGCTAGGGCTGCCTTGCACGGAACCACTTCTGAGCAACCTTGGCTGGTTGGCGACCATCTGAGCGATTCTGAGTGCTGGGTGTTTGTGACTATTCCGCAGCTTTTGTAAAAACATGCTCTTCCAGGCTGCCACACCTTCTTCCCTTCTGGCCTTGTGGCCAGCACGATGAAGCGTGGCACACTCTGCGGAACATGGAAATGGGACATGTCCTCTTGAACAAACCCTTGCTGCTTAAAACTCACCAAACATGTCAGAACCGAACAAGGCATGCTTCTAATACCTGCTTCATGTGCAAGTAGACAGTAGCGTTGAAAAGAAGGGAGTTCAGCCGAGAAACTTCATGGATGGTAACAAATGCACATGAATGGCAAAGTATTGCAAAGTGAGCAACAGTAACGTAAGTGACAGTGAGGTGTGTAACAATAGCACAGTAAAAGTACCGTGTGTGACAGTGAGGGTCAGTGAGGTAAGTAACAAACGCAAAAATCAACAAAGCAATAGCAACGTAAGCCCGTGAGCACCAGTTCGGTAAGAATAGGGCCAGGGCGAAAAGTCTTTTTCAAACTTGCAGGCGGTCAAGTTTGAGGACGTCTAGCACCACACGCGTTTTTGAGAGATAAAACGTGCTACGAGCAAGGACGCTACGAACGGGGCTCCAAAGCTTGGCGGAACGGCGCCTGGTCTCGCGTCATGCGGTCTCGCTCGTGTCTTGGAACGGTCTTGGCTTGGCCGCTGTGTAGAGGTCGTGTACAAAATGCTCACGGTCAAGCTTTGAGATGTCCACATTTGAGGAAATCACAGTCCAAAATGCTCATCTTGAAGCTTTGACATCAAGGTTGCACAAAATTTAGCGTTCGAGAGATAGCCACTGCAAGCGTGCAAATTTGATGCAGGAGTAGCTTCTACGAGCTAGGGTGTAGAATTGGCCAGTTTGTAGGACACATGTTTCATGCGGAGTGCATTTGGTGGTGTTAATCACGCTTGGTGTCGTCGTTGCAGCCAGCAATTTGCCTTGTTGATGTTGCTCTGCTCGGTGGTTCCGTGCAGCCTTGTGTGGCTCCGCGCAATTGGTGAACCGAGTGCATTTGGCGTCCGAGCGGCTCGCTGGAATATCCTACTACTTGTCTTCACATTGTGTAGCCAAATTCACATACTTACATCATACTTACCATCAACCCACTATTGCCTTAGCTCTTGCTGTTTGCCTCCCTTTGAGCGGTGCAGCATTCTCACATTTTCGTCGCGCGTGGCCCTTCGGCCCTTCTACGAGGTCCGACCAAAACGAGCACAAGTCGGTAGGCCCACAATGTTGAGGTCCAAAAGCAAGGTCACATTGATTGTGACATCACCGCACTCAAACCGAGATCTGTCCTCATTCTCGGTATTCCAAGGACAAGAATTTGGAAGATGGTATCTCTCGGCGCGAAGGGTCCAAAGACAGAAGCCCTGACAAGAAGTGGACGAAGTCCAAATGTTCAGGAGGAACTCGATCTGCCAAGGGCCACTGCCGGTGTACATTCATGACCTCAGTATGTCAGCTTCCAACTTCAAGATTGGAGTTGATGAGAGAGGATCTAAGGGTTGAATAGGGTTGAAGGGCCCAGTGAACTCAAAGGACCCTGTGTGGCACGTTCAAAAAGAAAGTGTCTGCGCTGGAAATGAAATGAATTGACATTGGGTGATCCCTATCCCACCGGTTCTGAGGGAGGCTTGAATGTTGTGGACACTCCACGTCCAAATTGGACGGGAGATGCTTCGTCCATGATACCTCTGTCTAACTTCAAGTCTCGGGTCCTGCGATGCCCTTTGCTCCTAGTAGC